CACCAACTTGAAATGTTCAAGGGTTCCCATGACCCTCTCAGATCCAGTTTGCTAGAATAGTCCACAGAACTCAGAGAAACACATTTACCAGTTTATTATAAAGGATACAAGTGAATAGCCAGGTGAAGACAGAGGTCTGGAAGGATCCCCAGTGTATGAGCTTCTGTCCTTATGGAGTTTGGGGTGAGCCACCCTTCTGGCATGTGGGTGTGTTCACCACCCTTTCAGTTGGGATATTTTATTGAAGCTTCATCATGTAGGCATGATTGATTATTAACTCAGACTCCCTGGAGAATAGGGGGTGGGGCTGAAAGTTCCAACCCTTTAATCTAGGCTTGGTTTTTCTGGCTCCCAGCCCCCATCCTTTCTGGGGGGTGGGGTGCTGTGCCACACAGCTTGTGGGATCATAGTACCCCAATCAGAGATTGAACTCGGGCCCACTGCAGTGAAAGTGTGGAGCCCTCACCACTGGACTGCCAGGAAATTCCCCCAGCCTCTATCCTGAAGTTCCTGAAACTTTCTAGGGCACCCCCAGCCACTAGTCATCTCATTGGCATACAGTAAGATGATTGTGCCACTCCAGAGATTGCTGGGGTTTTAGTTCTTGTGTCAGAAAACCAAATATTAGAGTAGAACATGATACGGCACTCAAGAAATTCCAAGGGTGTTAGGAGCTCTCTATCAGGAACATGGGGTAGGGAGAGACCAAATACATATTTCTAATTATGTCACAGATATGATAGGCCTCTAATCTGAGCTTTGCCTTATCAAGGCTCCCAAGAGTCTGATTTAGAAACTCCAAGCCTCTGAAAAAAAAAATTTTTTTTTAATTAGCCTGACCTAAATCAAAATACAGGGCTTGCTGAATTGAAGAATGCTGGGTGCATTTTCCAGCTTTATTGAGAGGTTTACACATTTCTGTTGTTTGTATTATTGTTTCTTTATTATGAATGAGGAAATGCATGTACAGGGAGGTTAGGAAAGCTGCCCCTCCCCCACACCCCCAACCCCAAACAGTGGGCAAGTAAGAGGCAGCCCGGGGCTCCTACACACACTGGTCCTTCACCAGGACAGCTTCCTGCAGGCCCTGTCCTCTAATCTGTCCCCTACATTTTGGCCAAATGATTTTCCTTATTGTGTCACTTCCCAATACCAGAGCTTTTCCTCATTTCCTTTGTGCCCTGTGTGGCTTATAGCCCTTTGAATTTAGGGTGTGATTGTAGTAGCTTACCTTGTGTGGTTTTCTTTTTTTCCTTCTTCTGTCCAAGCCAGTCTTGTGGCTCTAACTTAATCGTAAACCCCTGGAGGTCAGGGGCTCCCTTCCCAGTGGGTGCCTTCTATGTAGGCTGGCTACTTAGCTCAGTTTACCTTAGAGGGTTCCAACTTATGCCACTGTACTTCCCAGGGTGGCTGTTAAGAACACCCCTTTCACTCTGAAAAGTGTCTTGATCAAAGGATAAATTGTATGATCACCCTATTCACATAGGTGAGCTATTAACCAAACACTGTGTGCTAATCTGTGTTAATTTGCTTCAGTCCTGTCCAACTCAGCGACCCTATGGACTGTAGCCCTCCAAGCTTCCCTGTCCATGAGATTCTCCAGGTAAGAATACTGGAGTGGGTTGCCATTTCCTCCTCCAGGGGATCTTCTTACATCTCCTGCATTGGCAGGTGGGTTCTTTACCACTAGTGCCACCTGGAAGCCCCATAACCAAACACTGGTGTGCCTAGTCACTGTTGTGTCCAACTCTTTGTGACCTCATGGACTGTGCAGCCTGCTGGGCTTCTCTGTCCATGGGGATTCTCCAGGCGAGTCTAGTAGGGTGGGTTACCATGCCCTCCTCCTGGGGATCTTCCCAACCTAGGGATAGAACCCAGGTCTCCCGCATTGCAGGTGTATTCTTTACCATCTGAGCCACCAGGGAAGCCCAGGAATACTGGAGTGGGTAGACTAGCCCTTCTCCAGGGGATTTTCCCAACCCAGGAATTGAACCGAGGTCTCCTGCATTGCAGATGGATTCTTTACCAGCCGAGCTACCAGGGAAGGTAGTTGCTTACTGTTCTCAAGATACTGGAGAATTAGTACATTCAGTTTTATTTCATTACTGTGAAAAATGTAACAATTTAAGCAAACAGGAGGGGTGACTGTAATCCACTATCCAGATAAAACTCTGAAAGAAAATAAGTTGTGCATTCACAAAATTACTCAAATTATCCTAAAAGATACAGATGGAAAAAAAAAAAAAACTGGAAAAGCTTCTGCCTCCTTTAGTTTCTTTTCCCTAAAGGTATATTCACACACATATCTAAATTAAAAGTTTAAAAAAAAATCATAATATTGCATGTAAACCATTCTTTTGCTTTTGTCTCCCTAGTTCTATACCAGCATATACGTAGTATGTGTGGATGTCTCACAAGTTACTTCACCAGCCTGAACAGGGTGTTCATGAAAAATTCAATGGTGAATTTTCAGCTACTGTAGGTTTGTGCATAGCAAGCCCTTCCTTGGGTATGGTAATAGTTGCCCCTGTTCTTTGAAACTCAATAGCTAGTTTGCTTTTCAGTACTGAGGAGTGAAGTGTATTCTGTCCTCTTTTTTTTTTTGATGTAAAAGTAATATTTTCACATGTCTGAGTATTATTGTAGCAAATCATTTCCTGTTGGCCATTATCCTTTGAGTTCTAAGTGGCTTTCATGAAACAAGTAGAGGTGCTTTTAGTGATGGAAGGGTGTGTTGTCATAAGAAATGTGAGCCTTCGGAGTCTATGTGATAGCTTCTGACCACACACATAGGACTTGCTGAGTTCTGTAACATGATGCGGGGAGGGGTAAGTGTGGAAAATCTGAGCAGGGTGTTTTTATAAACACTCTCTAAAGAGCTGATTGGCAAACTCCAGCTCATGGCCACTGCATACAGACAGCCTACATACTAAGTATGGCTTCTGCTCTTTTTTTTTTTGGTGGGGGGCGGGGCTGGGGAGTAGGCGGGCGCTGTGCTGGGTCTTCATTGTGGCACTTGGGCTTTCTGTAGTTGAGGAGCTTGGGCTTCAGTAGTTGCCACCCCTGGGCTTAGTCGCCCCACGGCATGTGGGATCTTAGTTCCCGGACCACAGGATCAAACCCATGTAGCCTGCATTGGCAAGCAGATTCTTAACTACTGGATCACCAGGGAAGTCCCTTAATAGTTGAAAAAGATCACAAGAATATTTTAATTCCAATTTTTATTGGAACACCAGTCATGGTCATTTATTTACATATTACCTTAGACTGCTTCCATGCTGTAATGACAGAGTTGACTAGTTAGACTGTGTGAGCTGTGAAGCTTGAGATAAAGGCAGCCCTTGGTTTGCATGGTTTTCAACATGCACAGGTTTCAGTTACTGCAGTATTCTAACAGTACTTGGGTACCAAACGAGTTTCAGTCCCGAGTCCCTGGGTACGTGACACACATGCCTGGTACCTGGCCATTGCACATGCGTCACTCAGTCCATACACAGCAGAACCTGCAGTTGTGTTGTCTCCTGCTCCACAGAAAATGCGACAGTTTACAAAAATGATTGATCGATAAAGGAAATTGGGCCAAAATAGACCAAAGTGTAGCAAAGAAGAAAAGTGATAACGCTGGAAGTGAAATTCCATTTGAGCACAAATGGAGTGATCAGAGGATGAGCCAGCTGTGGGAGTGGGCACTGCCGCCATCTGAGACCGGTGTGCAGCCAGAGGAGCTCACAGACAGATGTGAAGAAATTAGTTGTGACAAAAAAGGATGGTGTTCCTGTGTATGGAAGTAACGCTGGGCGAACCTTGGACAGAATGCCAGGCAACTCTCAGGGCAATTTCATGGCATTGATAGAGCAAAGGATAAAAGGTCAGAAGCTGACCCAAAGCTAGAGAGGTGTGACACTTACTCTAAGGTGAACTGAAAAGAAACTGGCTTCATATCAGTGAGTATGTGACCAAAGACCTTCACAAGTACTGTTCACACTGCTCTCGGTGAATTTGCTTGCTCAGTTGTGTCCTACTCTTTGTGACCCCATGGACTATACAGTATATGGAATTTTCCAGGCCAGAATACTGGAGTGGTTAGTCTTTCCCTCCTCCAGGGGATCTTCCCAACCCAGGGATCGAACCCAGGTCTCCAGCATTGCAGATGGATTTTTTTACCAACTGAGCCACAAGGGAAGCCCCTTGGTGAGTTACTTTATTTACAAAGAAAATTAACGCTTCAATTCTCAAGTTTCTAATGTTTTAACTTACAGTGAACTAAATAAATACTCATTTTGTTATTTTTTATCCTATACATTTATAACCCACAGTTTTTTTTTATCTTAAAGGTCATGGAACAGTTATAATTTTTTCCATTGCTTTGCCTGATTTCACACTATTCTGGCTGTATTTACTATTTGGCCCATCTTAAAAAAGTTTATTGATGTTTGCTGTAGAGAAAACAGATCGGGGGAAGAGAAAGACCATTTCATGAGTGGGTCCGAGCTTGTGAGATGATCCAGTGCTTTTTTTTTTTTTTTTTGATCCAGGGTTTTCTTATTAGGAAACAGTGAGGCAGTAAGTTGGTGTTTTTCAATGTATAGCACCCACAGGAGTAAAAAGTATATCAAGGACTAGAATCCCAGGAGAGTTATTTTTGCTTGTTTTGTAAGTAAACTGACTCTGAATGGGTATTAAAAACATGAATAAAAGAAAATGCTAAGTTAAGGTGGTTGTTAATTTAGGGGAGAGAGAACAAGTGGAATTGAAGTGAGGGGGTACACAAAGGGTTTCAGCTGTCGTGTTTTGGTCCTTAAAATGTTAGAATTTCATTGTGACATTTTCTGTAGTTTTCAAAATATTTGAGGAGAAGGCAATGGCACCCCACTCCAGTACTCTTGCCTGGAAAATCCCATGGACGGAGGAGCCTGGTGGGCTGCCGTCTATGGGATAGCACAGAGTCGGACACAACTGAAGTGAGTTAGCAGCAGCAGCAGCAGTAGCAAAATATTTGAAATATATTAAACTCTTCAGTAGGGACAGCTGTAATTGTGCATTTCTGAAGAATGATTGGATACCATTTTCTGAAGCCTGTAAAATTAGGTTGGGTTAGTAGTGCCTAGGAGCTTAAAATGTCTGTGATGTCCTTGCTGGAAGGTAGTAGCAGGTCATTCTAGCACGAAGAGTGAAGTAGAGCACGTCTGAGCCATGGGCTCGTTCTCCTTATTTTGGTAAAGTTAAGTGACTTCAGAACCAGAAAAACCTGTTTTCTATGACAAAGACCTGTCTGTTTGGCAATTTTGTAACAGCTAATGTTCAAAATGCCTGCCAGGGTTTTGTAACTTAGATTCATATTTCAGATAATGTGTGACTTTAACCATTTTTGATGTTTTTCCAAGACAGCGTTACTGTTTCCCAAAGCCAGGAATTCCATTTTTACATATTCTGAAGCAAGTGTACCCAAATTTGGCGCCCCTCAGCTTTTCCCCCTATTTTTTTTTCTTCTTTTTTACCCTCTATTTTTCCTTCCGTTTTGAAAACTCACAGAATGTATTTAATTTTGCCGTAGCATTTTTGAGCATAGAAATAGGACTTGAAACACGTTTTTCATGATTGTTTCCCAAAAGTATTCTGAGACCAAAATGTCATCTCTTAACAATAACAGTTATTAAGGAATAATTTCCTGAAAATTGTCCAGCCAAGTCCCCTCAGCCTGGGGCAGTTCTTTGGTATGGTGCTATCAGTGACCCTGTCATTGTGGCCGTAAAAAGACCTAGCAGAAGGCTGGCCTTGGTGAACCCTCCAGTTGTGATGAAGCCTTGAGGAATGTTTTGGCTTTTAAGCAACTTCAGTGTCTTGTTTTTCCCACTGCCTGTCACTATAGTGGCTTTTCTTTCTTTCCATCAAAGGGGTCCTTAAGTTTGTGCTTGAGCTGTCTGATCAGACCAGTTTAATTTCAGATCCAGCTCTGCTGCTTGCTTCGGTTAACCTGCCCAGAGTGTTCCCATTTGTAAAGGGAGGTGGGTGTTACTGCATGAGTCACAGTTTTTATCATGACTATTAGAAATCATGCACATAATGTGCCCAGCATCTAGCTTAGTGAAGCCAGTGAAATGGGATATCAAGAAATAATCCATGCTCTGCATTTTGATTTTAAGCTGAGTCTACCAAAGATAGTATTCTGACTTTTTGGGAGTTTTTTCTAAGGAAGGTGATAAGTCATGGAAGTCATCTTACACACTAAAGTATTTCTGGCTCTTTGTACAAGCTTTTTGGAGAGCAACAGAAGGGAGAATGCATTGATGTGATTTGGAGTGAGGTGAAGAACATGTGGCCTGTGTTTCCTAAAGGAACATTCTCTCCTTTGAAACAAAACCAACCAACCAAACAGAAACAACCTCCTTTATTCATAAGATCATTTCCTTAAGCCTAGAGAGTAAAAATGTGTATCGTAGAAGCTGAAAAGCAATTTAGTTAGGAAAGGCATGCAATGAAATGGACTCCTCTCCATTTGACAAGGAGCCTCCCTCCTCACAGAAGGTACTCTGTCTTGACACAGTAGTTGTGTGGTTGAATTTCAACTTGGTTGAACCTAGGTTTGGCCAACTAATCTGCTACTTTGAGCTCTTTTACTCTAGTCCAATTTATTTTAAAAAGAGATTAGCTTCTTTCTGTTTTTATTACAGGAATTTTCAAGTGTACGCGAAGTAGTGGAAGCAGGTTTATGAGCTCCCATAGACCATCACTCAGCTTCAACAATTGTCAACATGATGTCTTTCCATATATACTGCGTTTTTAGTGCAGGAGGTGTGTGTGTTAGTCGTTCAGTCGTGCCTGACTCTTTGTGACCCCATGGACTGCAGCCCACCAGGCTTCTCTATCCATGGAGTTTTCCAGGCAAGAGTACTGGAGTGGGTAGTCATTTCCTTCTCTAGGAGATCTTCTGGCCCCAGGGATTGAATCCAGGTCTCCTGCACTGTAGGCAAATTCTCTACCCACTGAGTTTCTCTTAATAAACAGACATTTCTAAATTCCCTGGGACAAAAATGAAGCCACCTCCATCCCCTCCTACCCCCACCCAAGGAACCTGAAAATAAGGCTGCTTCCAAAACTTCCAAAACCGTGAGGTCAGTGTGTGATCGTTGACAGCAGATGTGAGCAGCTGAGACAGAATGGCCTCTCAGTCCCACAAAGTTCGTAACGAAGGAACCATCACATCTACAGAAAGAGCATTCCAGTCAGGAAGAGGCGTTGGTTCGTGGTGGCAGTCAGAAAAGTAAGTGTTCAGATGCAGACCTTGACCACACTCTCTTGACCAAAACGCGTCCTGAGCCGTCTCCTGAGAGCCTGTAGTCTGCCTGGTAGATCCCAGTAGAGTGGATCTTCACAGGAATCCTCCAGAAAACTGCCTTACTCAGATGCCAGGTGACCTGCTCCATGTCAGCTGGCTTTCCGAGGAGGTATGTTGGCACATATCCGCCCTGCTGGACAGTTATTTTCTCAGGATCCTCAGTGTGCTTTGTTAGCGAGAGCAGCGTCCCTGCGCTTCTTCAGCCCTGGGGCACTAGGAGTGCCTGTCTGAGCCGGCAAAGAGGCCGATTCCAGGCAGTGTTTATTTCACCAGGGTAACTGCCGTCCATCCCTGGATAAGCTTTCTCCCCCCTCCTCTTTATGCACCCTCAGGCTTCTGTACCTGCACAGAATATCTGGCAGAAGTATCTGGCATCCTTGCTTATGATAAGCCACCCAATTCCCACTCTATACTGTGGTCGCCCTGCTGTGTTCTCTGCGCTGTGGCATCTGACAGTTCATGGCAACCCTGCCTTGAGCTCCTGTTCGGCCCCTCTCAGGTGTTTGTTTCAACTGAGACATTAATTCACATTCCGCACAGTCAACCCATTTAAAGCACACAATTCCTTTTTCAGGTGTTTTTGTTTAAAAGACCATACCCGAAGCTGTTGGAAGTTTTGCTTTTGTTTTAGATTTGAAGGGTTTGTTAACAAAAGAAACTTTTATTTGTCACACAATAAACAATTTCAGTATTTAATAGGGGGTTATTTAACTTAATTTTACTATACAGTCATTAAAAGAAAAGAGAAATAGAAACAATAGAGACGACTAACAGTGTGTATGTACATCACCAAATTGGGCCCACCAGCAATCAGACTTAAACAGCGCTGGGAAGTTGCTTGTTAACAGCAGCCTGGAGACAGTGCATCCACTTTGTTGATGAGACTGCAGATTGCAGTTTTGGGGGGCTCCCACTTGTAATCCCAGGCCGCAAACTGATATCCTGATCAGCTTGCCTGCAAAATGGTAACTCTGGTTTTAAGTTTTACAATGCTTTTTGTTTCACCTTGTGAGTCACAAGATTTTCTGGACCCCAGGGGGGCTGGCCGAGACCCACTCCCTCTCTCATCTAAAGTGCCTCTTGACTTGCTGGTAACAGTTGGTGTTTTTGCAAGCAGGTGGGTTGTCCAGGCAGGGTCCAAAGTCAGTCAGAGGCTTGCTCTCCTGCTTCTGAAGCCTGAACAAGACTACCTCCATTTTCATTTCCCTAACAGCTGCTCGGGAAGCAAGGACATCAAGCAGTCAGTGATCCCTGAGGCTCTCAGCTTGGCAGGGCATTGGATAGGCAGTTGCCAAGCCTTGGCAGCAGTTGGGGGCCTCTGCCCTAATGTTTTCAGTTTGCGGTCATGGGGATCCTGTCTGGGTCCTCTCCAGCTTGTCTTGTTGATAGCAGTGCTGCTTCTGGCCTTTGACAGCCTGGTGGGTCGGGCAGAAACACGCACCAGAGAACTCTTCTGCTGCGTCTTCCCTGGGCCTTGTTGATTGTGTTTGTTTCGTGACTTTTGGCACATTGTCAAAAGTACCTGTTCCGGGTACACACCCAGCTGGTTCTAGTTGATGCAGTTATATGGACAAAGGTGTGTGGGCCTATTTAAAACAACAACAGCAACAAACAAAACTGATTTATTATTTACATGCCATAAAATCAGTTGTTATAGGCAAACCCAATGGCCTCTGGTACATTAACAGAGTTGTACAACCATCCCCACAATCCAATTTTAGAACATTTCCATCATCCCCATTTGCAGTCACTCTCCACCATCCCAACCCACCCCCGCCAGCACCAGGCAAACACTAATCTTACTTCCTGTCAATCTTGATTTGCCTTTTTTGGACATACCGTATGATTCCATTCATATGAAGTGTCCAGATAAGGTACTTTTTAGCTGATGATTTCAGTGATGGTTACTTGCACATTAACAAAAGATTTTTTTACTTCAGAGTATGCTTTTTCTGTTCTGCTAGTTACCTGTGATTTATTGGCGTTCCTTGGGGATGTTTGTTTGTTTTGCATAGTACCAACCTTTTTTGTCCATAGTTAGATGTTTTGTGGAATGTTTGGTTTCCTGCCCATTGTTGTGATGTATTTTAGGAGATGCAGCAGAAGCACAAATCCTGCTCTCTGTGCTTTGAAAGGCATCCCCTCAGTGAGATAAACCTAGCCAGGCTGAGAACAACTAGGGAGGAGTCATTGGCAACATACAACCCAAGTTCTGGGCCCTGGGATGGTTTTATTTGAGCTGTTTATGAAGCACCCCATGCTGGGCCTGAGACAGGTTGCAGTTCCCTTATGCAGGAAGGCAGAGATGTAGGACTTCCCTGATGGCTTAGATGGTAAAGCGTCTGCCTACAATGTGGAAGACCTGGGTTTGATTCCTGGGTCGGGAAGATCCTCTGGAGAAGGAAATGGCAACCCACTCCAGTACTCTTGCCTGGAAGATCCCATGGACAGAGGAACATGGTAGGCTACAGTGCATGGGGTTGCAAAGAGTTGGACACGACTTCACTTCAGAGGTGTAGGAGACCAGGGTGGAGGGAGAGGTGATGTCGGCTCGTGATCCCAGAAAGGGTTGATATGGTGGTGCAGAGCATACATTGAACCACGTGGTCAGGTGACTCCCTTTTCAAGTTGCTTTCAATCCTCCTCATTCCTCCAGAAGAAAGGGCCATTCTAGTAAAGGTGTTGTCTCCAGCACTTGTTTATCTCTCCCTTTTCAAGAGAGAGAGCAGAAGGACTTCCCTGGTGGTCCAGTGGCTAAGAATCTACCTGTCAACGCTGGGGACATGGCTTCAATCCCTGCTCTAGGAGGATCCCGTATGTTGTGGGGACAGCTAAGTCCATGGACTGCAACTACTGAGCCCATGTTCTAGGGCCTGTGAGCCCAGACATGAGATGCCCAAGCGTTGCAACTAGAGAGTAACCCCTACTTGCCACAACTAGAGAAAACCTGTGTGCAGCAACAAAGACCCAACTCAGCCAGAAATAATTAATATTTAAATAAGAGAGAGAGCAGATCTATAGGCTTTCTGTAGACAAATGTATCTGGCTGGAATTTTATAACTTTGTTCTGTTTCCCTTGTACCAAAGCAGGGCCAGGTTTGGGGGCACCTTGTAACCCTGGACTATCAAGATAGACGCTGGAAGAAAGGAGCGACCTGAATTGCCTTTGAAGGGTCGGCAGTGGGGGCAACTAACATTCGGGAACTTCTTTCTGAGGCTCTGGTGGTAACTCAGTTATGAAGTGGCCAGTCTTGGCAGAGAGTAGACAGGAAGAGTTAGGAAGGGTCCTATGGGGTGCTAAGTGCACTGTGCTGTGCGCGTCCTTCCTGACTGCACATCGCCAGCTCTAGCCTTTGAGTGCTAAGCTCCCCTTGGCCTGGTGAGACGGGCACATATCCAGAAGGATCCTGCAGTCTGGTGTTCTGCCTCTGAAGTCCAGCTTCTGTACGGGGTGTGTGTGTGTGTTTGATAACGGGGCAGGGACAGTATCAGCACACAGCCGACATTCAGTGCAGTCGGGTAGTTGCTATCTTTGTTGTCAGATGACGCCTTTCTTTCCTACACAAAGAAGGAATCCCTAAGCAGGTCTGATGGTGACACTTTAGAAACGGCTCATAGAGGAGCTGCTGGAACTTAAGACTCTGGAAAGCTGTGGGCCTCTTCCTCGAGGGCTGTGCATTTTCTCGCTTGCCCGAATTGCCCTGCTAAGCTAACTGGTCTCTGGTTGTGTTTTAGATTTTTGCCACCTTCCCAAGAAAGTGGGAAGATGCCGGGCCTCCTTCCCTCGGTGGTGGTACAATGTCACTGACGGATCCTGCCAGCAGTTTGTGTATGGAGGCTGTGACAAGAATGACAATAATTACATGACCAAGGAGGAGTGTCTTGCTAAGTGTGCTGGTGTCACAGGTAAGACAGTGCCGTTGGGGAGGTTTTATTATCTGTTGTTGTTTTTCAATCATTAAGCTGTGTCTTGACTCTTTGAGACCCCATGGACTGCAGCACGCCAGATTCCTCTGTCCTCCACTATCTCCTGGAGTTGGCTTAAATTCATGTCCACTGAGTTGGTGATGCTATCTAACTGTCTCATCCTCTGCCCTCTCTTCTTTTGCCTTCAGTCTTTCCCAACATCAGGATCTTTTCCAATGAGTCGGCTCTTTGCATCAGGTGGCCAAAATATTGGAGCTTCAACATCAGTCTTTCTAATGAATACTGAGGGTTGATTTCCTTTAGGATTGACTGGTTTGTTCTTGCTGTTGAAGGGACTCTCAAAAGTGTTCTTTAGCACCACAATTCAAAAGCATCAATTCTTTGGCATTCAGCCTTCTTTATGGACCAACTCTCACATCCATATGTGACTCCTGGAAAAACCACGGCTTTGACTATACGGACCTTTGTCAACAAAGTGACGTCTCTGCTTTTTTTTTTTTTAAATATTTATTTATTCATTTGGCTGAATCAGGTGTTAGTTGCGGCATGTGGGATCTAGTTCCCTGACCAGGAATCAAACCCAGACCCCCTGCACTGGGAGCGCTGAGTCCTAGTCACTAACCACCAGGGAAGACCCTGTCTTTGCTTTGTAATATGCTGTCTAGGTTTGTCATAGCTTCCCTTCCAAGGAGCAAGCGTCTTTTAACTTGGTGTTATCTAGAGACAGTTTATAAAGGGTCGTAGAAGTCTTTTGCTCTTCGCTAGTTCTTCATGGCTGAAACTGGGAGATATTTTTAAAAGCAGAAGAAACAAGCCCAATGTGAAGGTCACCCACACACGGTGGTTTCACGGCAGTACCCTTCCCCCTCTTCCCAGAAAGGGAAGAGTAGGCTGTAAACTAGAGCCAGGGGAGGCGGGACACGACTGCTTCTTCCCCCCAGGTTCCTTCCTCCCACCAGTGAGCACACATCCCACTCCAGGTCTGCTCAGACAGGCGGCCCCCTTGCTCCCTGGGCCTTTAGGTTATTTTTACCTTTGGGACAAATGACTTGAGCTCAGCCAGCCAGCTGAGTAATGAATCAAGTTAAAACTAGAACACACTTCTGGAATCTGTCCTTGTCCCAGCCTTCAGTGAGGACTTCCGTGCAGTCCTGTTGACCCTGTGAGCCTCCCAGTTTAAATAAAAACCTAAGCCCCACCACAGTATGTGCCAGCTCTGAACGGAGCCTCGGGGGACTCCTTGAGACCTGATGGCAGTGAGATGTTGGCCCTCTGGGACCCAATCCCTCCCAAGTGTTCCAGAGACCCGAGGATTCAGCCAGCCAGACTGTCTGTCAAAGATTTTCACTGGCTGCTTCCTTAACATTGTCATGGGACTTCTTACATCCTTTCCTGACAGCTTGACATCGCTGGGAGCACCTGGATTATGATTCTGGGCAGAAAGTGCTTGTGGCGCCCTCAGCACTCTCGGCCCCACAAGCCTGGGGCCTGGGCCAGGCGTCTGTGCCGCCTCCTGCACCGGCTGTGCTCTCTGTTGGCGTTGAGCTCTGCATTCAGCAATCACATAAGTGGATTAAAGTTACGTGCATAAAGAGAGGACAGCAGCAGGGCCTTGGTTGTGGCCTGAGGTTTACAGCAATGCCCAGGCGCACGAGCCTGGCCGAGACCCAGTGCCTGGAAGGGCGTTTTACTGACCTTTTCCTGCCCAGCGAGTGCTCAGCGCTCAGCACGTGTTCGGAGAGCCAGGGGGACTGGTACTATTCTTGGATTGTGAGTGAGCCCCTCACCTTTTGGGTGACTGGCAACCTCACCAAATGGTGAGTGAGGAAAATACCATTTATTGTATGTAATTTTCTGTCATAAGCTGTGATCCAGTGTCGGGGAAGGAATTAAGGGGAAATGTTTTTTTGCTACCTTTCCTGTCCTTTCCCTATCAAGAGTTCACAGTGTGGGACTTCCCTGGTGGTCCAGTGGTTAAGACTTCGCCTTGCAGTGCAGGGGGCACGAGTTAGATCCCTGGTTGGGGAGCTGAGATCCCACATGCCTCCTGGTCCAAAAAAAGAAAGAACAGAAAACAGAAGCAATATTGTAACACGTTCAGTAAAGACTTTGAAAATAGTCCACATCAACAACAACAACAAAAAAGAGTTGACAGTAGCAAATGTACATGCCATTCTGGTTACTCCTTGGTTTCTCAGGGGGAAAGTTAAGTTTTAAGAACACAAGCAGTGAACAGAGGGCATAAGATGGAATGTCTCTGCTGAGGGCCATGGGGTGTAGTGTTTTGCTGGCAGAAGGCAGACAGCTGTCTTCCTAAAGGTCAGAGTCTGGCCCCAGCCTGGAGGTCCCAGAAAACTCATTTGCGGGTACCTGAGCGTGGCTGCACGACACAGCTCCTGAGGCGTTCTCTCATGAGTCTGCAAGGAGAACTGGAATTGCCAGGGCGACGACTCGGCAACAAGTCACTCATGGAGTCCTTGCCAGCAGATTCCTTCTCAGGCAGGCAAACTCTGTGGGGAGCCAAATGATAATGAGAATGACAGTTCATTAACAACTAATTAATTAATCATAATGAGAACCAAAGTCACTGAGGGGACCAGACTCTCCGATTTAGTCTACGCTTTAGTCTGTGTAGACAAAGCTCAGCCAGATTAGAAGATTGCTTGATGATGGGTGGGGTGGAACCAGGGGAGCTGATTTGTATGCAAGAGTGCAGTGGCATCAGGTTAGACCAGCCCCATGTCTCTGCACACGGGAGGGCTCCTCCCTCCTGCACGCTGCCAGCCCTCCCCTTTTTGCACTTCCTTAAATGGCTGGCTTCTCCACCCACCCTCTTAACTTTGTGTGTGTGTGAGGGAGAAAATATACATAGCATACAATTTACCATGTTAACAGCTCTAAGCGCACGGGCTGGTGGCAGGAAGTGCGCTCCCAGGGCTGAGCACGCCCTTCAGTTTTTAATTCTCTTCGTGAGTTAATACAGTTCAACGGGTTATTTGGCCCTGGAAGCCATTCTGTCTTTTTATAATGTCACTTCACACGTCTTTGCTCTGATTTCCAGCTAGTTGATCTTAACGTTTAACCCACAAGGACAGTCTTGGTTCCGTATTTCCCAGGTTCTGGCAGGTTTGTGGTCCAGCATGCACACTGGAGGGCCCACATAAAGGAGAAATGGGAGTCTCTGTGAGAGGCCCACAGGACCAGGCCTGCTCAGGGATGCAGCCTGTTTTGTTTCACCAGCGATCTTAGAGGTGCCCCTTCTCACTGTGCTGTTTGTTTGTTCCCTTGCAGAGAACACCATCGATGAGCAGATCAGGGATAAAGCAGATTCTTCCGTCCCAAGTGGTAGGTTTTTAAAAAGACCCAGGATGGAATGAAGGCCATCCAGATGGGTAATGTGAAAGGACATTTGTCATTTGGGAGTTGTACCAGGGCTTCCTCCTCCTGGTTCTGTTGACGTAGAATTGGCAAGCTGAGTCTGCCAGCTTCTGGCTCCTTGCAGCCTCCCACGCTGGGGAGTTTGCATTGTCCTACAGACAGGAAGGGCTGAGGGATTCCACAGTGCTTCCTGGGGGACAGGGGTGTGGCTACTGCTGCATGCGGCTCAGGCCCCAAGTCCCCACTCTCTGCCTGCTCTGCTGTCTTCACTGCCGGGTCCCTGCTCCTTGCCACATCCTTCTCCCTTGCTCTCTGTCATCCTCGCCGGTCCATCTCCCTCCCAGTGCTGAACCCTCTGTCCTCTGCCACCCCCGCCTCCCTTCCCACTGAAGTCCTTGATCTCTTTGTGTTAGCTTGCTTGTAGTGCTGAGAACAGCTGCCCCATTCCTTCTTTATGCTTAAAGGACTCTGCCTCTGGAGCCTGGGGTGAGTGGTCCAGACGCACTAGCAAGGCCAGGCCCCAGGCAGTGGGTTCTGCTGGGCGAGTTCTGCAGTGGAGGGAGGGAGTCCGCCCCGACCAGCTTTGAAGATGGCCCCAGTCAGCCAGTGACCGCACACTGGTTGCAGTCTTGATTCTGGGCCTTTGACTCTAGCCTCAGCGCCCACCGTAAATGAGAGTAAGCATTTATTGGTTTAGCAGTCAACCAGTTGGCAGAATGCTAAGAGTTAAGGTTGGAGGCACTTTCCAGTTTCTCTAGGCTAGGATTCCTGTGACTGTCCTGGCCACTGCTTTGCCTGGGTTCATTGTTTATTCCCAAACTGGCCTCTGCAAGGTCATCCAGAGCCATAGGGCACTGGATTCATAACTCTGGTGTCTGTCCTGTTTCAGAAGAAAATTTCCCCAAGAAAATAAGTGACTTCCTATACCTCTGGTCTTTCTGTCAACCCAGAAATTGTGGCTCGGATTGGTTTCCGTAGTAACCTCTGACCTGCCGAGCAGCCCTCCCCATCCAGCCGTGGTGCTGGAGGCGCTGTAGAGTGCATTAGGACTGAGAGGTGATGGAGCAGAGCTGCCCACAGAGAGGAGCCTCCACTCCCTTCCTTCTGGGTGCCAGAGTGTCAACACTCCCTCAGTGAGCCCCTTTTGACTCAGCCCCAGCTAGGGCACTTGTCCTGTGTCCATTCTGGCCTCCCTGACGGGGTCACATGGATGTTTGTGTTTCAGTTCCCAGAAGGCAGGATTCTGATGACCTCTCCGATGATATTTTCAGCTATGAAGGTACAACTTTTTAAAAAACATGTTTTCTTATTTAGTTGGGAATTGAGACACACTTGAGGGTTTCTACTGAGGATATTGTAGAGCAGGGCTTCCCGACCTTTCCTGGGTGTTAGGACTCACAAGGATGCCCTGGGGCAGCAGGAAGCAGAATGGGCCCACAGCATGCCCTTGGAGAAGTTTGCCCTGCCTGCCAGCAGCTGCGCTGTGGGCGGGTAACTAGCTCTGCCTCCGAGCCCTGAGATTGAAATGAGGGGCCTGGTTCAGACCTTTCAGAGCTCACACAGGTTGAGGGCCTACAACAGTGACTGACATAGGGTAACCTCCATAACTATAGTCTGGTTATGCTACTATGTAAAAAGGTACCTGAAAATGTGGGCCAGACTAGCCATGTCTGCAATTAACCAGTTTCTTTTAGCAGAGAGAGGTTTTCCCCACGGGCCAGCAGCTGTATGACTGCTTGGGAGCATTCCAGCTCCGGTCACCTCTCCTGGGCCCTGCTAATTTGTACCCACCGGGCTGTCTCGCTCCCAGAACACTGCATTGCCAAGGCTGTCACTGGGCCTTGCCGCGCAGCCTTCCCGCGCTGGTACTTTAATGCCGAGAAGAACTCTTGTGATAACTTCATCTACGGAGGATGCCGGGGCAATAAAAACAACTACCGCTCCAAGGAGGAGTGCATGCAGCAATGCTTCGGTGAGTCTGCGTAGTGCCTCAATCCAAGACACAGCCATGGGCAGGGGAACCCTCCCAAGAGGACCCCCATCCCTTTCCTCATCCTCTGCACTCTTACCCTCACCCTCCTCTGGCTTCCTAGTGGGGAGGGGGTGGCAAGGCCTCAGAACCCTCTGAAGGGCTGAAAGAAGTCACTTAGCTAGAGCTCCCCTTGAAGGCCCAGGACCAAGGGGAAGCCTCTGGTGGCTGCCGCTGTGAGCGAAGGAGGGCTGGGAGCTGACCTCAGGTTGTGTGTTTTCTTCCAGGCAAGCAGTTGTATCCTGCCCTGCCCTTCGGCAGTAAAGGTAAACGGCCCCTCGCACCCCCTCCATCTGCCTTCCTTGACTTAACTCGGCTCTGTCTTTGTGGCCTCATGTTGTCTTGGACACATTGTCCTTCACTGTCCACATCTTTTGTTAGAAAGTCACGTTTCTGCACGAGAATGGCTGGGCAGCTTGGAACACATGGTAGATGTGTGTCCCATGGTGCGATGTACATAAAGGGGTTCGGAACGAGGCCATCTCTTCCCAGCAGCCCCGAGGGTGACCGGGGGACACCACCTTGTGCTTAGGCATCTGGGATCTGCCACACACAGGCCTGAGATTGACTCCAGGTTTGGTGGGGAGCTTTGCTGCCCTGGGGTATTCATCGTTGGTCCTGTGTGACACCGAGGAGGGTGGAAAGCCCTCGCTGTGGGTGGGCCATGGCCCCCACCAGCACTGTTGTCCCCACGCAGTCTGGTCTGGCGAGGAGGCTGGGCCTTCTCTTGCTTTTGTTTCTGATTCTGAGCCTTAGTCATGGATGGTAGTGTTTGCACAAAAGACCTGCCATGCTGGTTTGGCCTCTTTGCACCTGTGTCCTGTTCAGGAGCCCAGGCCTGGCCTGTGTGTCTGCCCTCCTTTAGAAAAAGAGGAATGAAGCTGGAACCTGGTTGGCCAGGCATCGGGATCTGGAGGGTGGGAGATGGGGAGGGAATTGACCCTGTCTGGTTCTGTGGCTATGTGGGGAGAGGGAGCTGGGCAACTGCCACCAGACCACATTCCTTAAGGGGAGCCTCGCCTGAAGAAAAAGCTTCTTAACTGACCAGTGGGACTGCAGTGGGGTAACCACTGTCAGATTTGCCTGGGCAGTTAGGAGTGTGAGGGTCCCCTCCCGGCCCTGCTCTGAATAGACCTGTGCCCATCCCTCATTCCACAGGCCACCACCCCAGCAACCTGCAGGGCCACATCTTTCTCTGGGCTGGTTGGAAGTGGGGTGGGGGGGGCGGTGTTTACACACCCACACCAGAGATGGGTGCTTTTCCTGTATAAGCTGCCCCAGAGAGGTGGTAGGGAGATAGAGTTGAAGTGAGGATTTTTTTTTGTTGTTCAAAAAGAAGAAACACAAACAGCCACTCTGTCTGTGTGCACCTAGCATAGCACCTCCATTTTTAGAAACCTATTTCTCAAGACTATAGGGACTCTCTTGAGGACTTGACTACCTATCAGGCTTCCTGGGTTGGGGCGGGGGGACATGTAGCCCAAGGGGTGTTGGTCTTCCTCCTGAGCTCACGTGGACACTGGCTGTGGCCCCCTGGGGTCCCCCCTCCCAGTTCTGAGGCCTCTCTCTCATCCGCAGTGGTGGTCCTGGTGGGGCTGTTCGTGATGGTCCTGATCCTCTTGCTGGGAGCCTCTGTGGTCTGCCTGATCAGGTTGGCGCGGAGGAACCAGGAGCGCACCCTCCGCACCGTCTGGAGCTCTGGGGATGACAAGGAGCAGCTGGTGAAGAACTCTTACGTCCTGTGAACCCCCGTTGCCAAGGGGCTGCCCCCTTCCACCCCCTGTTGATGAAGAGAATCTGGAAAGGGAGGGGAGACGAGTGTTGAACGCATGTGTGCTTTTTCAAATAGAGTGATTGATTTGTATTTGCGAGATCATTAGGGCTTTTGGTCTGTTTGTTCTTCCACAAGGTGAGAGGGCTGCTCCCTGGCCCCCCAGATGGGTTTGCTTTAGAAGTCCTCTTAGTGAAGGGCTGTGCACAGTGCAGGTGGTCTGGCCTCCATCCGAGTCGGTTCTTCTTCGATTTCTTTCTTTGCTCCAGGTGTAGATTTCTTTGCTTATGTTGAATCCTGTTGCCTCCTTTCCCATCACAGAAGTGATGTTTTCAGAGTTTGTTTGTTGTTGTATTTTTTTAAGTAAGCAGAAACATGTTTTTTTTTTAATTAGGATTCTGAAAGGAAGAAGGTAAAATGTACAAGTTTAATAAAAAGGGGCCTTTCCATTTAAAAAAATATTCAGCATGTGCTTTCTTTATGGGACTGTTAATACAGACTCGCCAAAGTATCCACAGGACATGAGATGTCCCCATCCAGGAACAGACTGTAAGAAAACATCTTTCAGATCTTTTTGAATGAAATACATCTTATGTTACAACTGAGTGCTTATAAAGTTTCGCCAAACAACACTTAGCCTTACATCTGTGGTAAGCTCTGATGTTTTCTTTTTTTTTAGCTCTGATATTTTCTTAACTCAGTTTCACTTTTTAAAAATTCTGGTCATACCATGCTGATTTTTTTTTTTTTTTTTAATGACTCATTTTGGCATCCTAGATCTTCATCTTCCCTGCATGTCTGCAATCATCCCCAGGCCTCCCTCCATGACCCTGCATAGAAATGGGGACAGGGCACCACCAGGCTGAACTCTGCCTCCAGGCTTAGTCCCACTTCTGCACCTGCCTGTGGGCACTCCCTTCCTCTCAAAGCCCCCTTTCTCCTCACCCTTCTCCTAAACACATAGTCCTAAACAAGGGGCAGCGTCTGGGCAAGCCATGGGGTCAGGCAGGTAGACTGGGGCCTCCGCCTGCCTCAGTGACTCAGGAGGCTGGTCGCCAGCCTGGGAGTAGGTAGAGGTGCTGGGCCTGGCTGGGGGCCCATGCTACCCGACACAACAGTTCCAGATCTTGCTGTGGCCTCTCCTTGAAACGAAGAGACAATAAGCCCCGCTTTTCCTTGACCCTTCCTAGAAATCCCTTCACGCCAAAGGCCACCCTCTATACAGACTATACAGGCAGACCTCCTTTTATAGTACTCCGAAGACACTGTGGCCTTGTTAGATAATGGGGTTAGCATTTAAGTACATTTAAATTAATGTATACACATTGTTTTTTTTTAGACCTAGTGCAATTGCACACTTAATAGACTATAGTGTAAACATAACTGTTACATGCACTGGGAAGTAAAAAATTTCATGTGACTGGCTTTATTGTGATAGTCTGGAACCATAGACACAGTATCTTGAAAGGATGCCTGCACACAGGGAAAGACTTGTGTCTGTTAGGGCTTAGAAATCTATTGCAGAAGCAATTGGGTAAATACGTCATCCACTCCCAGCCTTCTGGTCCATGGTAGATGTTGCTCCTGGATTCTGGTATTCTCCCTGCCAAGCCTTCCAGGCAATCTGGCACTCCAGGCCCTCACTGCAGTTGACTCGAGTTTGTGAGCAGGTGAAACCTACTTGCCACGTCCCAGACAAATTAGGACCCCTCAGTGCCTCCAGTGAAGAAGGCAATGGCACCCCACTCCAGTACTCTTGCCTGGAAAATCCCATGGACAGAGGAGCCTGGTAGGCTGCAGTCCGTGAGGTCGCTAAGAGTCGGACACAACTGGGCGACTTCACTTTCACTTTTCACGTTCATGCATTGGAGAAGGAAATGGCAACCCACTCCAGTGTTCTTGCTTGGAGAATCCCATGGATGGGGGAGCCTGGTGGGCTGCCCTCTATGGGGTCGCACAGAGTTGGACACGACTGAAGCGACTTAGCAGCTAGTAGTACCTCCAGAAGAGCCTGTGGCCCAGGGAAAGAGGGCTGAGGCATTGGGAAGAGACCCTCCACCCACTGCCCTCCAGTAGGCAGGTCACTTAACTCCTTTGAACCTCCGGTTTCCTCACTTGTAAGATGGGTGGATGGGAAAGTTGCACGAGATCACAGATGTCAGGTGGTGGCCACCTCTGCCCACCTTCCTGTGTCCTCGTTGCTCCTTACTCAGTGCTTCTCCCCTACACCCCCGCTGCCACCCCACAGGCAACCCTCAGGTCCACTCATGTGTCCTCTCAACTTCAGGGGCCTCAGACCCACTGATGCCTCTGGCCTAACAGAAGGCCTTTCTCCACCTTCTTGGACAAGAGTTGTCTCTCCTTCATATCTTAGTCATATGAAGGGAAAAAAGCAGCATATTGGATTTTAAAAGAAACTGTTGGGAATCACTTTTAAATCTACTGCAGCAGGAGGAGATCATGAAGTGAATTCTCCTGACACCATCAAGGCCAGTCGAGCTTCCGCAGGTTTTTCCTATCGTACCTTTATATGTTTCTGATGCAGACAATATCTCTGTGACACTTCTGCCCAGATTTGTCCTGTCCTGTCTTGTGGTTTGGGAGGCCCTGTGGCCCCACTTGCTCCTGGCAGGGTGACAGCAGGGGGCCTTTGGGCCATCTTGGTCTGCCAGGGCTGTCTCCCTTCTGTACTTTTCCATGTTACGGTGCTGCTGTTCCAGTCTGGTTGGCCGCCTCCTGCCATGCCACTGTGGCCCCTGAAACTAAACTGCCAGGTTTTCCACTTTATAGACCATTTACAGGCTGACATTGGTCCTCTTTTTGTTGCAAAAACTGCCTAACAGTAGGCGAGTAGCCAAGGTGCTCAACGGACATTTCACGGCCTTTGTTATCCTCAGACAGACTGCCGGCATCATTCAGAGGTGGAATGGATTTCTAAAAAGTCAACAAAGATCTCTCCTCTGCTTCTTCTTGGTCCATACACTTTAGCAAGGCAGTTTGGTCACTGAATGTGGTTGTCATCAGCAAGGGTTTTTTCTCAACCATCACCTGGGTAAAAATCACGTCAAAAGGGTTGGGAGTTATGTAGACTATTTTGAAAAATTTGGAATTCTACCCTCATCAGCCCTGTGTATGACGCATCTTCCCCTGAACAGCAAGCCCACGTGCAACCTCCAGGTGGCAGCTGATCAAAGGGAGCCTCAGGAATTAATGCTGGTTTAGCCCCCAACATTCCTTCTTGGATGACTAGTCCCACGTCATGGGGACAAGGGCCGCTTGGTCACAGAGCGCCCTGCCTGCCATGTCTCCCTATGGGGCCCACGTGGTCTCTGTAAATTTGTGAAAATATTTGTTCCATTCACATCTGACCTTTCCAAACAAAGATCTGGGTGTGAGTAGGGGATGACAGGAGAAGTAAAGCTATACCCAGTGGGACAGGAGTCACGCTGATTCTTTGTCTTTGAAGGAAGTACAACCTGGCACCTGGTGTGCAGGCTAAGTTGCTTCAGTCATGTCACCTCCAGAAGAGCCTGTGGCCCAGGGAAAGAGGGCTGAGGCATTGGGAAGAGACCCTCCACCCACTGCCCTCCAGTAGGCAGGTCACTTAACTCCTTTGAACCTCCGGTTTCCTCACTTGTAAGATGGGTGGATGGGAAAGTTGCACGAGATCACAGATGTCAGGTGGTGGCCACCTCTGCCCACCTTCCTGTGTCCTCGTTGCTCCTTACTCAGTGCTTCTCCCCTACACCCCCGCTGCCACCCCACAGGCAACCCTCAGGTCCACTCATGTGTCCTCTCAACTTCAGGGGCCTCAGACCCACTGATGCCTCTGGCCTAACAGAAGGCCTTTCTCCACCTTCTTGGACAAGAGTTGTCTCTCCTTCATATCTTAGTCATATGAAGGGAAAAAAGCAGCATATTGGATTTTAAAAGAAACTGTTGGGAATCACTTTTAAATCTACTGCAGTAGGAGGAGATCATGAAGTGAATTCTCCTGACACCATCAAGGCCAGTCGAGCTTCCGCAGGTTTTTCCTATCGTACCTTTATATGTTTCTGATGCAGACAATATCTCTGTGACACTTCTGCCCAGATTTGTCCTGTCCTGTCTTGTGGTTTGGGAGGCCCTGTGGCCCCACTTGCTCCTGGCAGGGTGACAGCAGGGGGCCTTTGGGCCATCTTGGTCTGCCAGGGCTGTCTCCCTTCTGTATTTTTCCATGTTACGGTGCTGCTGTTCCAGTCTGGTTGGCCGCCTCCTGCCATGCCACTGTGGCCCCTGAAACTAAACTGCCAGGTTTTCCACTTTATAGACCATTTACAGGCTGACATTGGTCCTCTTTTTGTTGCAAAAACTGCCTAACAGTAGGCGAGTAGCCAAGGTGCTCAACGGACATTTCACGGCCTTTGTTATCCTCAGACAGACTGCCGGCATCATTCAGAGGTGGAATGGATTTCTAAAAAGTCAACAAAGATCTCTCCTCTGCTTCTTCTTGGTCCATACACTTTAGCAAGGCAGTTTGGTCACTGAATGTGGTTGTCATCAGCAAGGGTTTTTTCTCAACCATCACCTGGGTAAAAATCACGTCAAAAGGGTTGGGAGTTATGTAGACTATTTTGAAAAATTTGGAATTCTACCCTCATCAGCCCTGTGTATGACGCATCTTCCCCTGAACAGCAAGCCCACGTGCAACCTCCAGGTGGCAGCTGATCAAAGGGAGCCTCAGGAATTAATGCTGGTTTAGCCCCCAACATTCCTTCTTGGATGACTAGTCCCACGTCATGGGGACAAGGGCCGCTTGGTCACAGAGCGCCCTGCCTGCCATGTCTCCCTATGGGGCCCACGTGGTCTCTGTAAATTTGTGAAAATATTTGTTCCATTCACATCTGACCTTTCCAAACAAAGATCTGGGTGTGAGTAGGGGATGACAGGAGAAGTAAAGCTATACCCAGTGGGACAGGAGTCACGCTGATTCTTTGTCTTTGAAGGAAGTACAACCTGGCACCTGGTGTGCAGGCTAAGTTGCTTCAGTCATGTCCGATTCTTTGCGACTCCATGGACTACAGCTAGCCAGGCTCCTCTGCCCATGGGATTCTCCAGGCAAGAATACTGGAGTGGATTGCCATTTCCTTCTCCAGGGGATCTTCCCGACTCAGGGATCAAACCTGAGTCTCTTGCATTGGCAGGTGGATTCTTTACCATCTGAGCCACCTGGGAACCCCTGGTGAGGGAACACCTTAGACCCCAGGAAGTGGGGCTGGGGGGCAGGAGGGGTGCCATCAGCCCTCTCTTCTCTAGACCCTGCACCTCAGCCTGCCAACTCATCACCTGGTCCACCTGAGCCCTGCCGCCGGCAGTGTGACCCAGAGACTCAGCCAGTCCTGAAATGTTCTATGCCTGATCCCGTCACCGCCTGAATGTGGGTCCCACCCGTAGACGTTTACAAACATGAACCTGCTCGG